CGGGAAGCCCCCTCCCAGCGTCTAGCACTCTAGCACCCTGTCTAGCATGTAGGAGAAAATCAGTAAAGGCCTGTGGGATGAATGAAGCTTTGGAAAGACATTCAGGCAAGGTAGGGGCAAGAGGGGAACCAGGCTGGGCAGCTCTGGGAGCAGCCTAGGGAGGAGACGGGGAGGCTGGAAGCTTCTGCCCATTTTACCGATGGGGCCACTGAGACTCAGGGCAGGACCAGGTCTAGGGGAAGAAACTGGGGCTGGGACTGGGGCGCTCAGTTCAGCTGATGGGAGTCCTCGCGGTCAGCCATGTCCACATTCTTTAACTCCACAGCCCCTGCCCCCTGCACTAACATCCTGCCCTCTGAGCCCGACAAGGGCCTGGACTGCATCATTCAGTTCTGTAAGGGGCGTCGTGGAGGAGTTGGATTCTCCCATTCCCTGTTGATTGCCTGCAAGATCAAGTTATGTCACCTGGGCCTCAGTGTTCCCAACTGCACAATGGGCAGCAGAGCTTCACACCGGCGCGGAGGCGGTATTCCGTAAACCTCGGGCGACCCGCCTGTTCCTGCAGGAGAGCACCACTGTACGGCACCACCTCGACCTCTCTGCACTGAGCCCCGGCCTCCCCGAAAGGGCGTCCACCTTGTCCTAAGTAACAGAGCTCTGAGCTCGTGCGGTTCGGCCCCTGTGACAGCCTGGCGCGCCCGCGCGAAGGGCTCTGTGCCGGGGCCCTGGCACCCACCGGGACTCGCGGACTGGGATTCTAGGTGGGCGTCATGATCTCGTTTGGCAAAAGGGAAAAAAACTGCGCCTGGGAGAGGGACTCCCGTGGCCGCCGCGGCCCTCCCTGCAAAAGCCGCCGCGGTCCCCGCGCCGCCCTTTCCCGGGAGCTCCGCTCCCCCCGCCCCCGCGGCTCCCGCCCCCGGGACTTCCCGGGCCGCCGGCTGCGGGAGGGCGCCCCCGCCCCCTGGCCCGTGTCCCGACGGGGGGCGCCGCGCGGAAGGCCGGGCGGGGCGCCCGTGGACTCCAGGCCCGCCCGGGGCGGGGCCTGCGGGGCCTCCTCCGCGGTCAGCTGGGGGCTGGGGGCAGCGGGCGGCAGGCGAATAAAAAGGCCCCAGGGCGCCCGGGGAGGGAGCCCGTTAGCTCTGCTCCGCCAAGGCGACCGCTCAGCCCCGGACCGTCCGCGCTCCAGTTGGTGAGCCCCCGCCTGGCCTGGCCCTGGTCCCTGGCCCTGCATCTGCCTCTTGCTGTCCCGTCCGTCCTTCTGTCTCTCTGTGGGTCTGCAGGCCTCTGAGGGTTCCTGGAGGCTGGCCTCGGGGGGAGTTGGGGGTCCCATGGACCCTTAGCCCGGCCCTCCAGTCGCTCCCCAACCTGCTTCCAATTGGACAAGTGGCCACGTTGGGGAGCTTGGCCCAAGGCCCGCCCTGGGTGGTGCGCCCAGGCCTCGGGGGTGCCTGCGTGTCTTGTTTGTGTACAAGCCGTGTGTAACCATTGCTCTGCCTTCTCCCAGGGAGGAGACAGGGAAGGGGTAAGGCGGGTTCAGATGTCACACTTAAGACTTGGGGGACAAAGAGCCAGGGCTGATCTGGGCTGTCCAACTATCCAGACCAGATCTGATTATATTGGGGGGTCGGCGTGTGACAGAAACACGGAAGGGAAGGGGGCCAGAAGACTTCAAGCCCCACCTTTCTTGCCTGGACAGGTAGAGCTCAGAGACCATTTGTTTTGTTAGCACTGCTTCAGGTCACAGAGTCAGCTACTCTGTGGAGGCCACAGGGCTGAGGCTGCTGAGAAGAGCTGCCCAACTGCAGAGAAGAGGGGCGCGATCCCAAAGTTGCTGCACCCTCAGGACGGCACCCCCCATGCCCTCTCTTGAATACTCGGGCATTTGCAGTCTTCCAGCCCTCCCTACCTGTGCTAGGTCAGGCCAGGTCCCAGCATCTCCTGGCACACCTGGAGCAGGTGACTCTGTGCCTCAAGCTGGCAGGGTCTTGGATCTGTGTGGCATTCAGTGAAGAGCAACTTGCCTGATGCCCTCACGCCACGGCCTGGGTCATAAATCCACCAGCAACAGGATGGAATTTCAGTCGGCTCCCTGCCTTCCTTTCCTCCTCCCCCCCTTCTTCCAACATCCATTCTTGGTGGTTTTGAGAGCCTGGCATCTAGCAGGCTGCCTGGGTTTGAATCCTGGATGGGCAAGTTACTTGACTTCCCTGGACCTTCTCATCTGTAAAATGGAGATAAGTATTTAATGGGTATTTTTAAATGTATGATTATTATCCTCACTTCCCTCCCTTCCTCCTCCTCCTCCACCTTCCTTCCCTCCCCTGTCCCCTTCTCCTTCACGTGGAAAAGGAACCGTCACTTTTGAGGCTGCTTCCTTCTTTGAGGGAGGATGCACAGCTGTTTCAGTCTGGAAAGGAAGCATGGGAGGGTTCAGGGAGACTGCAGAGGTGAGAATGGGAAGGCCCCTGCACAGCCTCAGGGAATGCAGAGGGGAGCATCTGGGCTTTAGTGTGGGTGGAGGGAGAAGGGGCAAATCTAGAGAAGGCTGCAAAGAAGAGTACCAAGGACTCGCAGCTGAGATCGGACATGACCTCCATTTCCTTCTTTGTACAGAAAGACGGTGGGACCAGTCGAGACCAATGGTTCTATTGTAGCTGTTTCAGTAGCTGCTAATAACAGTTCATTGTTGGCTGGGTACGGTGGTTCATGCCTGTAATCCCAGTGCTTTGGGAGGCCAAGGCAGGCAAATCACCTGAGGTCAGGAGTTCAAGACCATCCTGACCGACATGGTGAAATCCCGTCTCTACTAAAAATACAAAGAAATTAGCTGGACATGTTGGTGCATGCCTGTAATCCAGCTACTTGAGAAGCTGAGGCAAGATAATCACTTGAATCCAAGAGGCAGAGGTTGCAGCAAGCTGAGATCGTGCCATTGCACTTCAGCCTGGGTGACGAGCAAAAATCCATCTCAAAATAACAATAATAATAATAATAATAATAGTTCATTGTTACTGAAGGCTTGCTCTTCTAAGGGTTTAATGTTTCTTCATTTAATCTTTATAAAGATCCTATGAGGTAGTTGCTATTATTATCCGCACATTACAGAGGGAGACACTGAGGCAGCAAGAAACTAAATCACTTGCCCAAGATCACCTAGAAACAAACTGGTGGAGGCAGGATTTGAACCCAGGCAGTCTGACACCCAGCCTGTGCTTTCAAGCCCTGTGCTGCCACCTCCCATCCATGCATCCACAGATATGAATGAGTGCCACCTATACATTTGACACTATTTTGGGCACTGGGGACACAACACATCCCCACTCCCATGGAGCTTCATTCCCAGAACTCGTCTAGTGCACTTTTAGGAGCCCACTCCACCCAGCGCTGCTGGCCAAGGCCGTTAAGAGGGAGTGGGCCAGAGGCCATCCATGGAAGTGGGAGTGGCAGGGGCCTGTGAGACCCTCCCAGCTCAGGCAGATGAGCTGCATGATTCCCCAAGAGGAGCCATGGCTGTGGAAGAGGCAGGTCTCAACAGAACCAGCTTTCTTAGACTGCGCTCTCCATCCACTGTTCCAGGTCGGCCTCGGCTCCCATCGGCAGCAGAGCCTCAGGGTGGAGGATTTTCAGCATTGGTGGCTCCAGATGTCTCTGACAGCCCTAACCAGCTGACTCTCTCTTCTATGCCCTTCTCCACCTGCTGGTCCCAGGACCAGGGCTGATGAGTGAAGGGGAGAGGACCTGCCCCCAGCCTCATCCCCTCTCTAAGGACCCAAAAATCATCTGATTACAGCCAGGGCCTTCTCTCTATTCACTGCCTGAAACCTTCCCCTGGCCCCTTGCTTTCTGCAGAATGAAGGCAAACCCTCTGCGTGGTACACAAGGCCCTTCATCAGTGGGCCCAGCCCGTTCCTCCATCTCTTTCCCTTCCAAGGCCCCACACTGTAGTCTTGGGGTAAGAGAAGGGCGCTTCCTGCTCTTGCACAAACTCACCTCTTTCCCTCTTTGCTCATCCTCGTCTCTCTACCTTGAAGGCTCCTTTTCTCACCCAGGAGAACTCTTATTTGTCCAATAAGGCTCAGGTTAAGTGTCCCTTCTTTGAAAGCCTTCCCTAATTCTTCTTCCCTGAGCTTTATGAGGGTAGGGAGGGTGTCTGGTGTCTTCATTTCTGTGGCCCAGCACCTGGCCTAATGACTGGCCTGAAGCAAGTATTCCAAAAATTTGTATTGAATCTGAAAGAATCATACACCTAGATGGACTGGAGGCTCTCATAGGCTATCCAAGCTGCAGGAGGGATCAGATGATAAGTGGTTCCATCTCCTCACTTTAGAAATAAAGAGTCAGAACCTAGAGAGATGAAGAGACTTGCCAAGCCACGCAGCCAATGAGTAGTAGAGTCCTCAATGCCCCTAATAACTCTTCCTGCTCCAGCCTTCCAGGTGCCTTCTGGGGTGAAGACGGCATTTCATACATTTGATTAGGGCACTAGGAACATCAAAAGGTGGTGGCAGTGCTCCGGGGTAGATATTCTTGACCTGAAAGCACCTTGGAGTATCCCACATTACTCAAAGGGTGGACCACCTCGTCCACCTGCATGTAAGACCTTAGGTATATAAAAGCTGCTGTTGATTGTGTACTCACCAAGCACTGGGACTTTACTAAGCACTTTCCATACAGTGTTTTATTTAACCCTCAACAACGCTGTGAGATGGAGATTACTATCCTCATTTTACAGATGAGGAGACTGAGACTCAGTGAGGTTAAGATTAAACTTCCTCAAGGTCACATGGCGAGTAAGTGATGGGATTTGAACCAAATCAGCTAACGTGGCCCAGACTCAATTAATGCCACTACGTGTTCATGCACGCGCGCGCGCACACACACACACACACTTGACAGGGGAGCCTTCTATCCTTTCTCTTGCCAGCAGCTGCCAGAATTGCTGAAGAGGCCTGAGGTCTGGGTAGAGGTGGTGATCACTGTCATGTTCACTCATTCCTCAGGTATCTTGGCCTCAGCTGCCCTTGAAGTCACCATGACGAGGTCCCCAGCAGCCACCGTCTTCCTGTTTCTGCTGCCGCTGCTGCTAGGCCAACCCCCTCCCAGCAGGCCACAGTCACTGGGCACCACCAAGCTCCGACTGGTGGGCCCAGAGAGCAGGCCAGAGGAGGGCCGCCTGGAGGTGCTGCACCAGGGCCAGTGGGGCACCGTGTGTGACGACAACTTTGCTATGCAGGAGGCCACAGTGGCTTGCCGCCAGCTGGGCTTTGATGCTGCCGTGACCTGGGCCCACAGTGCCAAGTATGGCCAAGGCAAAGGTGAGTGACTGGTGCCACCCAGCGGGATGGCAAGGAGATGGTAACAGTCTTCTCTCAGGCTGGGCTAACTGACGCCCACCATCCTTTAATACCCTGCTCACGTGACCTCCTCCACAAGGCATTTCCTGAGTGTCCCAGCTGCATATGGCCCCTGCTCCCACTCTCCCATTCTCTCTTGTAATGAGGCCACCACTGTCACCACCACGAAACTCTAAGTTCCTTGAACATAGCAATTGGCACACAGTTAGTGCTTATAGAATGTTGAATGAAAAAATGGGCAAACAGGTGGGTCTGATGCCTACAGCTACCTGGCATTTTCCAAAAATAGATTCTGTAAGACCCAGTGCTCAAAGGAGGTCGCAGGCAGGGTTATAGATACTAATTCCCCAGGAGACCCAACCTTCTTCCTCCCTGCCACTTTCTCCCAGGGTTTGGAAGAGGTGACTTGATAAGTGTGGCATCGCATGCAGGAGGCAGAGCCTGTGACCTGCCTCTCTGTGCCATCTTTGAGCATTACCCTCACTCCACAGGACCCATCTGGCTGGACAATGTGCGCTGTGTGGGCACGGAGAGCTCCTTGGACCAGTGCGGGTCTAATGGCTGGGGTGTCAATGACTGCAGTCACTCAGAAGATGTAGGGGTGATATGCCACCCCCGGCGCCATCGTGGCTATGTTTCTGAAACTGTCTCCAATGCCCTTGGGCCCCAGGTGAGGCTCTTCAGGCCCTAGTCTGAGCCAAGGGCAGGGTCAGAGGACAGAGAAGCTCCCAGAGGATGAGCCTGAAGGAGAAGCGAGGGGAAAGGGGGTGACTTGCACTGAGCAGCGTCCCCGGGGCCCCGACCCCTGAGTGTGCCTGCAGCAGGTGTGTAGAGAGAGGGCCCCAGCCTGAGGCAGGCCAGAGGACCAGAAGACCAGAGCTGAACCCACTGGGAAACACAGAAGCTGTTCCCATAAGGGAGACAGCAGTAGGGTAAGGGGCTCCCTCATCCACGAGGCCTGGCAACAATTGCTGCCTCTTCCCAGCACAAACAACCCTGAGCTAAAAACAGCCCAAGCCAAACAACAGGAGCGGGCAGGGCAGGGCTCTGCTGCCAGGCAGCCTCCAGCCTCAGCACAGCCGGCCGTGGCCACTGAATGCAGCGTGTTGTGATGGGGGCTCCATACTGGTCCGAGTCATCCCAGGGCTAGGGTTGGGGGTCTTGTGGGCCAAAGGATCCTGCCATGGCCACAAGCAGCTGGTCTGTGCCCATCTCAGCTCTCCCAGGGTGGCATGGAGAAGGCCCCTCCATGCCCAACAAAAGCCTCCCAAATTCCAAGGACTCCTATCCTGATCCCAGAGAGGGCCAGATCTGCCTAGTTCTCTCCAGTTTGACAAAGTTGAGGAACTGAGGAAAAGGGCTTAGACAAGCCGAGGTTCTGCCTTGCACTTACTATGCCTCCCCCTCTCTGGGCCTCAGTTTCCTGGCCTGTTCAATGACGGGGCTGGGTGGGATGGTCTCCAAGAGTTCCAAGCCTTGGTCCTGCACAAAGATCCGCAGTGAACTAACTGGAGGAGCGGGAGTCCCAAGGTCCCCAGGTGACTATGCACCCTGCAGGGTCGGCGGCTGGAGGAGGTGCGGCTCAAGCCCATCCTTGCCAGCACCAAGAAGCACAGCCTTGTGACCGAGGGAGCCGTGGAGGTGAACTATGAGGGCCACTGGCGGCAAGTGTGTGACCAGGGCTGGACCATGAACAACAGCAGAGTGGTGTGCGGAATGCTGGGCTTCCCCAGCGAGGTGCCTGTCGACAGCCACTACTACAGGTAGGAGGGCGGCTGGCATAGGGCCCACCGGAGGCAGGGTTGTGGGCAGGGGCTGAGCGTGTGTACTCGTGCGTGCACTCGATGTAGGGTGTGTGCATGAGCCTGAGCGTGGACTCGTGTGAGGGGCAAGTGAGCGTGCACACAGGTGAGTGTGTGATGTGTGTGGCACGTGGAACCTTGCCAAGTTCGGCGGGGACTGCCTGGCGGTGGTGGTGTCTATGGCAGGACATCCAGCAGGTGTTGGGATTGGGGGAGGGAAGACAGGCCCTACTGAGGAATGTGCCCGGATTTCCTGCTTCATGGGTGCCTCGGAATAATAAACAGGAAAGTGAATGAGGAGGACCTTCAGGATCCTGGGAAATACCTAGAAACAGTCAGAAAATAAACACTGCACTTTCGAATTATGTAAACAAAAATGACTAGGTACAGAAGGCCCCTCTCGGTGAAAACAACTGAACATAAAACCAGGCGTTCCTGGTTAAAAAACTAGACTTTCCTGCAAATACTTTCAGCGACACCCACACAATTTAGGCAAACTGTTCTGGCCTCAGCTCAGCCAGTGACTGGAGGTGGGGCTCTGGGGAGGGCCTCTAGGCCTCCATCCTCCATTCCACTGTGAACATCCCAACTCTTCCCTCCTGAATATCCTCAGGTCTGATCCAAGCCAGGCTGTGACTGGGTTGCGTGTAAGCGAGGTATGGGGTCGGGGGCCTGGAGAGAGGAGACGTAAAAATATTCTGTCGGAACCAGGGCTGAACTGTCACAGCTGATTGCATCAGCAAGTAAACGACAGCCCCAGTCACAGTTCTGCCAGACCCGTGTCGGGGAAGACTTGTGTGTTTCTCATCAAGGGAGAAATCTCCTGCAGGACGCCTGAGTCATCTGCCTCATCCACCCCATCAGTTTTGATCCTGCTTCCCTTAGGGGTTAGAAGGCCCTCGTTGCAGTGTCCTTGTGTCTGACTTAGAGGATCCCCATCCTGAGGAAACAGGGGTGGTGGTCAGACCACAGCTGCATCCTTGGGGATCTTGGGATTCGGCCCGACTCCCCCTGCCTGGTAATTGCACACCTGGGTCTCGTTGACTCACTTGCCACCCATGAAGAGGGCACAGCTAATGATAGCCTGGGTGTCTCTGGGTGGGTCACCCCCACCAGCAAAGCCTTCACCTCCCACCTGTCCCCAAGGGCCTCTTCTCTTGGACATTCCCTAAATGCTCCCCTTCCTCTGGACTTGGGAGAGGGCAAGCCTGAGCCGCCTGTCCCCACTATAGGATTGAGTGAGGGACCTTGGTTGCCTTCCTTGTAAAATTATTATTTGTGAGATGGCCACCCCATCAGGGCTGCGGTGAAGCTCAGCATTGAAATAAGATTTGTGAACAAGTTTACAAACTGTAAAGTCCTGTACAAACTTAAGGACAACTATGAGGAACCAGGTGACAGGGGGTGGGACTTCCATGCCCCTTCCACCTCCTGTTTTCTCCCATAACAGGAAACTCTGGGATCTGAAGATGAGGGACCCTAAGTCTAGGTGAGGAGCGGCACCCTAGGGGGAGGAGGCAAAGGGGTGTGGCATGAAGGGCCTCCTTCCCCTCCCCTGCCCTCCCTCTCCCTCCCCTCCCATCCTCTCCCATCTCCTCCCCTTCCCTCCTCTTCACCTTGGCCTCCCTTAGTCCTGAAGCCCTTCCCTCAGCCCCTCCTCCACCCTCAGTCTCCCTGTCCTCTAGGCTGAAGAGCCTGACGAATAAGAACTCCTTCTGGATCCACCAGGTCACCTGCCTGGGGACAGAGCCCCACATAGCCAACTGCCAGGTGCAGGTGGCTCCAGCTCGGGGCAAGCTGCAGCCAGCCTGCCCAGGTGGCATGCACGCTGTGGTCAGCTGTGTGGCAGGGCCTCACTTCCGCCCACAGAAGACGAAGCCACAACGCAAAGGGTCCCTGGCAGAGGTGAGCCCCAGGGGCCCTGAACCCCAGCCTGGAGGCACAGGTGGGACCCTGCCTGGTGGGGGCTGGGGGGAGGTCCAGGACACACAGGAGAGAGGAATCAGACTGGGAGGAGGAGAGTGAATCACAGAACTGTAGAACCTTGGAATGTATTAAAAGGGATCATTTATAGCCCTACCATAAATGGAAACTGACATCACTGCCTTGAATAGAAGGCAACCATAAAAACAGTAATTAAATCCCAGCTACATTCCACTGAGGGCGAGTATTGAACCTGAGCCTGGTCCTTTGATGAGCAAGTGCTCATGAGGTGGTACAGTCAGCTCAGTGCCACACTGAGAGGGCCTCGTGAGGTGGCACAGACAGCTCAGCCCCGCACTGAGATGGCCTCGTGAGGTGGTGCAGGCACCTCAGCGCCACACTGAGATGGCCTCGTGAGGTGGTACAGGTGCCTCAGTGCCACACTGAGAGGGCCTCGTGAGGTGGCACAGACAGCTCAGCCCCGCACTGAGATGGCCTCGTGAGGTGGTGCAGGCGCCTCAGCGCCACACTGAGATGGCCTCGTGAGGTAGCACAGTCAGCTCAGCCCCGCAGTGAGATGGCCTCGTGAGGTGGTACAGGCGCCTCAGTGCCACACTGAGATGGCCTCCTTGATGAGGCTGTGGTGGTGAGTAGTCTTTGAAGAAATGAAGGTGAAGAAAAACAGCTTATTCCAAGTGGCAGCTATGCGAAGTCAGAGGCAGAACTCCCCATTCCTGGCCCTGGTCAATGCCGTGGAGCTTGAAGGAGCCCTGCCTGGCAGCCCTCCCTGATGCAGATTTCCTGGCAGGAGCTGAAGGTGCGCCTGCGCTCCGGGGCCCGGCTGGGCGAGGGCCGGGTGGAAGTGCTCGTGAACCGCCAGTGGGGCACGGTCTGCGACCACAGGTGGAACCTCATCTCTGCCAGCGTCGTGTGCCGTCAGCTTGGCTTTGGCTCTGCTCGTGAGGCCCTCTTCGGGGCCCGGCTGGGCCAAGGTGAGTGAGGCGGCCTACGAAGGGGTGAGAAGGCCTGGATATGCCACTGGTCCATGTCTTGAAGGTGGAGGGAAGCCACCAGTGCAGGGTTGTGGAGAGGGAGCCTTGCACACAGCACCTCTCTCCCTGTCTAGGGCTAGGGCCCATCCACCTGAGCGAGGTGCGCTGCAGGGGATATGAGCGGACCCTGAGTGACTGCATGGCCCTGGAAGGGTCCCAGAATGGCTGTCAACATGAGAATGATGCTGCTGTCAGGTGCAATGTCCCTAACATGGGCTTCCAGAACCAGGTGAGTGTGCGTCTGAGCATGGCCTCGGGCTGGGGGCTAGGAAGCCCTGGGGAGCCCCCAGGACACCACATGGAGCTGGCGGGAGAGGTCCCGGAGAAGCAATCGACGCCTCTGCTTTGGGCACCAGTCTACCTTCCCTTAGAGCCAGCCTGGCTGCAGCCCCTCCGAAAAGTCAGAGGTCACAGGGACTCTGCAGGTCGTGTTCTCCCATACCCCTCGAGTCCCCTGTGATGCTGGGAAAGGTGCCTGGGAGAGGGCTGCAGGGCTGTTGGCACAAGGGAGGCTGTGTGGGATGCTCAGGTGCAAGTGTCAGTGCTAACGTGGACTGTAAGCAAATCGCTGGGGCCACTCACTGTAAAACGGGGTTCATGCTCTCAGGGGGTCACTGTGAATGAGGCGAGGGACATGAAAGGCCTTTGCAATTGCCAGTTGTTAATGGTGGAGGGCAAGCGCCAGAGCAGGAGAAGCCCCCAGTCCAGGCACTTTGAGTCAGATTTCTCCAGCAGGCAGGGACATGAGAGACTACCTGTGACACTGTCCTCACCTTCCAGAGAAAGACCAGTGCAGAAAGACCACCTTCAGAGAGGGGGAGGTCTGCCCAGGGCGACACAGTGAGCTGTCCTGGGCGCTCTCCCGGCTCGCAGCCCCAAGCTCTTCCCTGCAAGGCTGCCCCACTCCTCACACAACCCTCGCCATTGCAGGTGCGCTTGGCTGGTGGGCGCATCCCCGAGGAGGGGCTGTTGGAGGTGCAGGTGGAGGTGAACGGGGTCCCTCGCTGGGGGACTGTGTGCAGTGAAAACTGGGGGCTCACCGAAGCCATGGTGGCCTGCTGACAGCTTGGCCTGGGTTTTGCCATCCATGCCCACAAGGTAGGTCCCTGTCTTGTTCTTCCATATGACCTCTTACCCTCCTGGACTGGGGCCCAAAACTTCTGTGCTAAAGCTGCTGCCTCTTTACCCATTTGGCAATTCATTACTGAGTGAAACTATGAGCTGACATGATCCTGGGTGTTGGGAACAGTGTGTTAAACAAGAAGACACAGCCCTTGCCTCAGAGCATTCAGTCAAGTGAAGGAGGCAGTTATTAATGAAATGGTCAATGAGGGACACAGCTGTGTCTGCAGGAAAGATGAACAGAAGCCAGTCAGACAAGGTGGAGGAGGAATGAACAGCTTATGCAAATGCTCCGTGGCCAGAAAGCTTGACTTCGCTGAGGAAATCAGAGCCAGGGGTTGTAGTGTGGCTATCAAAAGAGAGTGCTGTCAAGCGTGAGGGCAGAGCAGACAGGGGCAAAATCACTCAAAGCCTGCAGTCCACATTTTTGAAAGATTTCTTCCTTTGCTGTTTGGAAAACAGTTGGGCGGAGACTAACACGAATGCAGGGAAACATACTCAGGAGACTGTTGTAGCAGCCCAGGTGAGAAGTGTGGACTGGACCAGGCAGCCCAGGGGCAGTAAGTGGACAGATCTAAATTATATCAAGAAAACAAAATCAAGAGAACGTGGGTGTGATGACAGAAACCTCTGTGACTGCACCCAGACTGGCTGCTGCGCAACATGGATGGGCTCGCCGCTGAACACAACCGACAGTCTGGGCTGCTTGAGGAGCCGCTGGGGAAATGGGAGCACAGCACCCAGGCAGAGGGGCGGAACAGGACCCTCCTTCTCAGAGCAGAGGGCTGCCATCTGGAAGAGGGAGGGGTGTAGGGCCAGAAGTGGAAGCCATGGCTAGTGGATTTTTACCTCCATATGTGGAAGGTATTTCTAATTATTAGAAGGGTCCAGATGTGCCATGGACTGCCCCAGGGAATATGGGTTCTCATCACTTAATGTTTTCCAGCTCACACTGGACACAAGCTGGTGGGGGTGGAATGACTGGGGCCACACCTCAGATGGGAGTCAGGAGGTGACTTGAAAGGCATGCTGACTGGGTGACGCTGGCTGTTTTCTTAGGAAACCTGGTACTGGTCGGGGATGCAGAGAGCCCAAGAGGTGGTGATGAGCGGGGTGCGCTGCTCAGGCACAGAGCTGGCCCTGCAGCAGTGCCAGAGGCACGGGCCAGTGCACTGCTCCCACGGCGGTGGGCGCTTCTTGGCTGGAGTCTCCTGCATGGACAGTGAGTGACGGAGGGCTCACAGGGCTGGGGACGGGTAGGCCTGTGCTCCCCCTCAGGGAGGGCCCTACATGCGGGTCCCAGGTCCACGGCCAGCAGCCAGCATGAGAGAATGGAAGTACCAGCTCTGCCATTTTCCCAGCTGGGTGGCCAAATCACCCGTCACATCAGGATCCAGACCCTGCCCATCTCATGGAGTTACCGTGAGAAAGAACACTGAGAACATGTGAAAGCACAGGACATAGAACAGTGTTTTTCAACTTTGGGGTTATGACCAACAGTTTCAAAATGAAGCAGGACAGAAAACAGTAAGGGCCATTTCTCCTGGAACTATGTGTGTACTGGGTTACAGCATAAAATGTATTTCTTATGTGGTGTGTATTCAGAAAAGCAGTTTGCAAGCTGTTGTAGAGCACACACAAATGTGAACACACCCGGGGCCAAGGCCCAGCTGTGTGTTCTCCTCCTGAGCTGAGGGGTTTACCCAAAAGGCTTTGGGACAAGGCCACTTGTGGCAGTGCTCTGCCCCCACAAACCCAGATTCTTAGGGCAGCAGCATCTCTGTTTGACATCTCCCAACCAGGTCAGTGCCAAGATGGACTATATCCAGTCCAAAGGCTACAGAGAGCATCAACCCAAGTGGCCACTTAACCTTCTTCTTGGCCAAATTTCAACAGCAAGACATCCTTAACCTTTGTCAGTGAGCTCTTGGCCTCCTCTCTGCCCAGGGCACCCTCCACATTGGGCCCATCCATCAGACCCCTCCCCTGCAGGGGTGGGGCATCAGAGTGGACCTCCCCAGCACCAACGCCTCCCGGCTCCCCACGCAACTCCTCTTCCTGGGAACCTTGTACCCTTCTCTGCCCCACTGCCTACAGTGGCAGCTGCTTCTTGAACACAGTTGATGCTTCACGACCGCTGGGCACAGCCAGCCAACCTGCAGCCTCTGTCACCACTTGTTTTTCCTCTCTTCTTTTCACATTTCTTTCTTTCCTTTACTCTCTCTTCTCATTCCCTGAAAGCGTGCCTTCTTAAGAAACTCTAGGTTTGTCAGTGGGCACTTCCTGGCTCTCTCCAATATACACCACAGGACCCCACATGGTCAACTCCAGGTGCAGGTGGCTCCAGCCCGAGGCAAGCTGAGGCCGGCCTGCCCAGGTGGCATGCATGCTGTGGTCAGCGGTGTGGCAGGGCCTTGCTTCCGCCCGGGACCACTTTAGTGATAGTGATTTTTAGTGACAGTACAGGCAAGGTATCCAATTTAGATATCAGCAGAGCTTTCTGAAAGGATTATATGAGCTAAGCTACATACTTAAAGCCTGTAAACGTACTTTACAGGCTTAAAAGCATTTTACATAAGAAATCCTAGCTTACTTCCACCACCTGTTTACTGTGGGCCAGATGATGGTCTAAGCATGTAACAGGTGTCATCACATTAATATCACCATTATCTTCAGCTTACAGATGATGAAAATGAGAGACAAAAAGGGTAAGCAGTTACAGAGCCAGTGAATTATGCAGTCAGAAAGTAAGCCAAGAATGAACCCAGGTGGTCTGGCTCCAAAACCATGACACTGAAGCTGCCTCCGAGGTTTAGGTGATAGATTTCCTTTAATTGTTATTAGAACTCAGATCTCCTGACTCTTAAGCTGCCCTTCTTTTGTGGGGTCTTCCCGGAGGGTTTAATCTGGGGGCAAGCCTACCCTCCATGCTGGAGACTAAGCCTGGCTGCCTTGCCACTTCGAGTCACTGCCATGCCCTCTGCTGCCCCAGGTGCTCCAGACCTGGTGATGAACGCCCAGCTAGTGCAGGAGACAGCCTACTTGGAGGACCGCCCGCTCAGCCAGCTGTATTGTGCCCACGAAGAGAACTGCCTCTCTAAGTCTGCGGATCACATGGACTGGCCCTATGGATACCGGCGCCTATTGCGCTTCTCCACGCAGATCTACAACCTGGGCCGGACTGACTTCCGTCCAAAGGCTGGACGCGAGAGTTGGGTTTGGCACCAGTGCCACAGGTTAGAGCCTGCTCATGCCTTGGCACGAGAGAGTTAAGAACAAAAAGCAGGGTCCAGGGAGCAGTGTGGCCCTTCCCTGGCCACAGGCAAGCTTTCCTGGGAAGGGTGTGTACTCTCCTTGCTGGCTTTGCCTGCAGGAGGCAGTGAGGAACGCAGCGTCCACCTGCCCCTCCATGGCTCTTGCCTTCACTGTCGATGGTGCTCGTGGGGTCTGTTTCCCACAGCAACGTCCCATAGAGGCGTCACTGCCAGCAGAGTTGTTCTGTTAGAATGGTATCTGACACTTTTCCGATGTTGGATCATACATAAGCCTTGTCTTCAGAAGCCAGGTAAAGTAGGGACTTCCAGAAACCTGGAGGCCCAAAATAGACATCCCATCCAGGGTGCTGGCTCTGCAGGAAAAGCTCGCTGGTTCCTTCAGCAGCAAAGCAAGGTCCTCAAAGAGCAGCATCAACAGACTGGTACTAAAAAAGGGACAGTGAACATTCTTTCCTATCAGGAGCTTCCAGACCAGAGAGAGGGAAAGACAATGCCTGTGACAAAGGCAGAATTTTTTTCTTCTTCAGAACACAGCCATGGGTGGGGAAAGCTGAGAGGAATGGGCAATGACTTTGGGACTTGGTCTCGCCTGAGATAATAAGCACCTTTCCCGGTAGCATGAACAGAGCTGTCATTATAACTGGACTGGAGACGATGGTAGCAACTTGGTCCCAGGCTGACAGGGAGCCCAGGAAGCCCATCTTCCCAGCAGCTCAGCTGCTAGGCTGCTCATAGACCTGCCCCCGCCCCTGCTTCCCCCTCCAGTTCAGGCTTCGCTGTCAGGCACCAGCCTCCTGGAGGCGACCACGCAGGGCTTCTGCTTCTCGCCTGGGTTGAGACGCTAGGTGACCAGGGCAGCTGTGCTTGCTGCCTGGCAGGAGTGCCAGCAAAGTAGGCTGTGGGTCACACTAATCTCGGGTTTGGGAGGGAGAAGGGTACTGCCCTACTATTACAACTTTCCTCTCAGGGTAATGATGGGGCCTAGTGCCTGTCTTCCCTACCAGCCCCTCCAGAGAGGACCCTCTCCTGCTGCTGCTGCAATGACAGCTGTACCCCTTCTGCAGGCATTACCACAGCATTGAGGTCTTCACCCACTATGACCTCCTCACTCTCAATGGCTCCAGGGTGGCTGAGGGGCACAAGGCCAGCTTCTGTCTGGAAGACACGAACTGCCCCACAGGTATGTGGTTTCCTGTCAGTACCTATCAGCATCTCCTCTTGCTATGTTCTTCAGCCACTTTGGGATCAGGCTCCTCTCTGCCCTGTTCAGTGGCCCAAGGCACCTGGAGACCCTGGCTTGAAAAGTCAGCATTCAAGGCAATTTCTTACGCAGGAGGTTTTTACTGCCTCCGAATTCCCCACACACAGTGTTCCTCTTTTAAAACACTCAGCACTTCCTGTCTTGGAGAAGAGTTGCAGACCTGTCCTATCTCTGCTGAGCTCTCCAAGGGCAAGATTGTCTAATTCCTGTCTGCATACCCGCAGTCCCTAACTGTTACGAACTGCATGGTAAACACTGGGTCTTCAGAGGGTTGGAGGGATGGATATGTGGATACACAAATAAACTAGCACAGGAGGGTTGGAATCTTCCAACTGCAGTTCCTAGTTCAACAAGGATTTGCACTGGAGAAGTCAAACTAATCTTTGTCACAAATGTGGTTTGTTCAGGTGCTGGATTTATGGCAGGATTCTAGCTCTGACACTCAGCCAAGTTATTTAACTGAACCTCAGGTCCTTAATCTGTGAACTGGGCATGATGACAGTGAACTGGTAAAGCAAATAAAAAGACTTAGAAGAGTGCTTGGTCTTGCCTCAAAAACTGGCCCCTTCCTTACAGGACTGCAGCGGCGCTACGCATGTGCCAACTTTGGGGAACAGGGAGTGACTGTAGGCTGCTGGGACACCTACCGGCACGACATTGATTGCCAATGGGTGGATATCACAGACGTGGGCCCCGGGAACTATATCTTCCAGGTAAGGAGGCTGGAGGATTCCCCCACAGAGCCCAATTTCCTCCAGATGTTCCAAAAGTTTCCCTGAGGGCAAACGAAGGGAGACTGTTTCCCATATAGGGTTTCCGGCAGGCCTGTCACTTGAAGGAGCTGTGCTATTACAGAAGTGACACTCAAGCAGGATCCAAAGAACCTGGGTTTGAGTCCTCAGTCAGTGAACATTGGATACATCAGTTTCTCAGTTGGGACTTCTCAGTCCCTATCTGTAAAATGGGGACACCAGTGCCTACCTCCTGGGTAATTGTAAGAATTAAAATGAGGCAAATAGAGACACATGTAAGGGATTATCACAGCCATAGTCACTCAGAAACCAAACCACCCATTTTCAGTTGTTCCCTCTTTCACTCCAGGTGATTGTGAACCCCCACTATGAGGTGGCAGAGTCAGATTTCTCCAACAATATGATGCAGTGCCACTGCAAGTATGATGGGCACCGGGTCTGGCTGCACAACTGCCACACAGGTAACTCCGAGCCACTGTGGCATCAGCCATGTGTAGGCTCAGGGAGCTGGGAGACTGTAAATGTACCTCTGCTCCCACACCCCAGTGTGTGACTTGTATGTGTGTGGTGTGTAAAAGGCTAGGGGTGGAACACAGATGCATTTCCTTTGACATCTTACAAGGCAGACTTCTAGAACTGGTCAGACCATTGGCTTCACCCAGTAACTACATCCTCTACGTCCCTATTTGCACCTAAGGCTGTGTGCTTGTAAACTCAGTTTCCAATCTGTCCTAAATCTTTCCTGTCACCTCAAGCCATGTCAGGATTTTTCTCTTCCAGTTCATTGTTTTTCCTTTCTCTTTCATATAGAAGTTAGGATTAGGGTTAGGGTACCCACAGGCAAAAGTAGAAGTCCCCTCGCTCTGTGTTGCTGTCTCCAGGTGTGATCACTGCTTGCAAGAAGGGGACCATGGAAAACCGGGCCACTTACAGGATTGGTAGTGTCAGTCAAAGGAAGGATCATGAACTAGTGGGGGCAGAGAAGAGGGGCTGTTCTACTTGTCAGTAAAGACTCCCTCAATCTTCAAGGCTAAAAAATGCCTGTATTTGCTGAGATGTACATTCACACCCATAACTGCATATGTGCAGTGGGATGGGACAGAGTTGTTCAGTCAACCAACATTTACTAAGGCTTACTGTTGTGTTGAACACTGTGCCCCAGACACTGGGAACCTAAGTGTGAGATAGGGTATGCACACATGCAAATAGCCCCAGAACTACTAACATGTGGCCTGAATGCCGAGCAAGCACAGACAGAAAGCAACCAGTTGGGGGCTAGCACAAGCTTCACAGAAGTGGCATTTGAGCTGAGTTTTGACGGAGAGGCCAAAGTCAAAGATGGGAGGAGAAAGAGCAGAGGACTGGGCTTCAGAAGGCGTCACTGGGTCCCGAATCCAGTACCACTTTCTAGCTGGAGGACAGTGAGGGTATCAGGACCTGAGTTTTCTGTTTTGTAAAATGGGGCTGTATACGTCAAACCTACTAAGTACTAGACCTCGTTGCAGGCAGGGTTATGATAGTTCTAAGAGAATGCACTTTATCCTGTGGGCTTCTGGGAACTATCGACAAGTTTCAGTCAAAGAAGCAAAAGATCATTTAGGTTTTCAAAAAATAACTGTGGCAACAGATGAACAAGAGTGAGAAGAGGAAGAACAGTCTAAGGTTTGGAATTCGTGTGACTGAGTAGATTGTGCTGCCATTTAAATGAAACAGGGATATTGAGTCTGGAATCCAAGGCTATGCAACATGGAGACAGCAGATCCTCCATAATGCTGGAACCAGGCTGCAAGGGTCCCCAGACAGTGACAGGGGCAAGAAACAATGCAGTCCTGCTGGTCCTCTTGCCAGTCAGAGACCCAACAGGGTCCCTGCAGAAAACAGAAGGCACACTTGGTGAGAGTCTGAGGTTATTTAATGAAAGGACTATTTAAAAGGAAACAAGGGGTGTTGAGACATCAAGGATAAAAAAAGTAGAAAGCCGTTATCTGCTTTGGGTTTGGAGCACGGCAAGGGCTGTTCTGCAGCCAGGTGCAAGCCAGAGACATGAAGGAGGGTGAACCTAGCTGGAGCAGAATCATAGACCACCACTGTCAAAACCACAGGGCCAGAGTTAGGGGAAGGAATATCTGGCCTCTCTCCTTCCACCCTCTGACCTTCTGCTGTTGCTTTCCATTGACCCAACTCAACCAAAAACAGAGGACAAAGGAGCCAGAGTGATGTGCTCACCAGGGATCAGCTTCCCAGGGCACAGAGAAAAAAAAAAAAGGGCAGAGAATGAACCTTGGGAGGGGGTACAGGTGAATAACCAGCACAACCCTTTCCATTCAATAGCCTGTTCTTCTTGACGTCCCTGAAACCACGCATCTGTCCCAGGCCTATTTCTATAGAATGACTGTGCCCATGACATGACTGACTTGAGATAAAGGATGAGCTGGGCAGAGTGGATCTATGTGAAGTTGTCAGGGAAGGGATGAGACTGTGGTAAGGTTGGCTATTTACCTGCTTTCCTTTGGCCTACAGGGAGTTCATACCCAGCCAATGCAGAACTTTCCCTGGAGCAGGAACAGCGTCTCAGGAACAACCTCATCTGAAGCCATCACTGCGCACTCCTACCTGCTGCCGATACACCAGATACCTCAGTTTACTGGAGCCATGCCCTTCACAGAGTCCCAACTCAGAGGAAAAGGGCCAGGGCCAAGGGGCACAAAGAACCTGCTCAGGAAGCCTTTGATAGCAAGATCACCAATCCAGATAGTACTGCTCCCTCAGGATAGCTCTGGACCTGTCCTCTAAGGGCCTGTGGCCTATGGAATATGACCTCCAGGCTTTGCTCAGCTGAGCTCTTCTATGAGGACACCCAGGCAACCCTGAATCTTACCACTGAGATCCTGGAGCTCTCAGTTCCTTCGGGACAGACTATGGCCCCATCTAAGTGGTGCTTTGCAGATGTCTTGGAGGAGTATAGGACAGAGGACCAAAATACACAGCTGGTGGTGTTAGCTCTCTACTAGGAGCTCAAAGCAACACAACTTGTATCAAAATCACAACTGGCAGAGAAGCTGGTGGATTCAATCCTTTCTTCATCGGTTGTTATTTAGAACTCACCTCTCACACTCTGCTAAGAGTCTGTTCTTTAGTGTCCTTACCTTTATCCAACCACACACATGGGTGCTTCTGCTATCCTTAGAAGCGTAGACCTTGGGCATCCCCTTATTGCCTGATGGGCCAACACCACCAGTTACTGAGTGCTTGACAAGGGGCAAGTTTCACAGAAATGGCCAGATAGGGCATTCCTACAGAGCAGCAAGAGTAAGCCAAGCAGAAAGACTGCTGAGGTAACATGCACCCCAGCCCTTGCCAGGGCCTCTGCTAAGGAAAAAATATGCAACATTTACCTGGCAGGCAGTCTGATCTCTCTCAGGATCACATGTATCTCAGGATTGGTCTAAGCTTCCAGTCTCAACCAAGTGTCTAAAGTGAACTTTGCATTCAATAAATTTTTGCCATGGAAAGAACATCAGTCAAACAAGCCACTCATCCCTTTAGAGGTATGAAGACAAATTTGGCAGAGCGCGGAGACAGAAGACCATGGAGAAATCAGAAGGGGGAATAGTCAATTTAGTGAAGGACGGAACCTGGGAAAGGCCACCATTCCTGTCTGATGGGGCTGCGACTTGTTCTCGTTCAAGGAGAATAAAACCCCATGGTCTTCTTGACGTGATTCTTGATCTTTTCTCCACTGAGACACACTTAGGTGATGATCCTTACAGGACTAACACCCTAATGCCAATAAATGTTGCTCATTATGGACTGCTACAAAGACCAGACCAGCTATGATTATGTATACACCCCAGAACCACAGTCCCTTTCCCTCGCATGGAGCCAGGGCCTGGGATGCACAGGGCACACATGCTTCTCATGACTACCCATCTGCATTTCTCCAATCAGACATGAGTCTGCTTCCCATTCAGCCTCCCCAGGCTCAGAGCTGAAACACAGGTTAGAAAGGTTAAGAGATGAAGGACAGGGGCAAGGAGGTAAAGTCTGAGGATTGTAAACTTTTATCATCAAGGCTGCAAAGCCAAAATAAATGGTAGCAGATGGAGCAGATTTACAATAGCACTACCCCCACCACATCACAAGAGCGACCCCCTCCTTAGGGAATAAAAAGGGACATGTTCTGGGGAACCCTCTGTGAATACAAAGAAATGCTTTCTTCCTTCTCCCCGACCTTCCCTCTCCTCAACTCTCTCATCTCCTTCATTAGGCAGAGGGAGCATTATATTTTGGCATGGCAGTTTAAGTAAACAAGGGAAGAACTGATTTCCTGTTGGATCCAGCAAGCATCCCCCAAACAGTAACAACATTATGCTCACACATGCAGCTAATGGTCTGTGAAAGAATGTGCAGCTAGCAGGAGAGCATGTGGTGACTGATGACTAGATTCAGGCAGGGAGGTTCCCCACAGCTGCTTGCTGGATCCAGTTTCTAAGAGGGCCTAAAAAAGCAGACCAGGCAGCCAGCCACTGGCTCTGGTCTCAGTCTTGCTGCCCACATCACACGTTTGATAGGTGCAGCCAGTTCTAATTCTTGGAAAAGGCCATACAAGGGTTGTGCTGTTACGACTCTGAGCTGAAAGGGAAGGACATGGGAAGACTGGTGGTTGGCATGACTTGTAACTAGATGAGGAATGTTAACAGAATACCAACCACCAAATTCCAGGCAGAATAAAAAATGTCAGAAGACTTTCACCTCAGCATACTTTAGCCTCAGAGAAACTAAGGTGCTGAAAATGTCAGCTTACTCTTCAGAAGCCTAATTTACCTTTATTCTACAAAGACTTTCATTCTATGAAGAGCAAATCAGAACTCACGAGAAATGTACTTTTCTACTAAATTCCAGGTAATCCTGAGATTTAGATGTTCAACACATATGCACAGCAGAGTGCATTAGCTGTCTTCCTGAATATCTAACAAAGGTGCCAGTGGCAGCTACAGGGTGCGCTCCAGCTAACTCAGCTTGAGAAAACATGGCTTGGATGTGCCCAAGGATTTAATTCCCTTCTTAAAAACCTCAATATAGTCTGTGCTGGGCCATAGCAGGAGCCCTTACCTCCAGCTAGTGTACATCAATCCCAATGCTTGAGTAATATAACTAAAAAGCACATTCTCTACTAATGGTAGAAGCAACAACACTCCATAGTTTAAGTGTAAGCTAAAAAAAAAAAAAAAAAAAAAAAAAAAAAAAAAAAAAAAAAAAAAAAAAAAAAAAAAAAAAAAAAAACCTTTCTCTGGGTATGGTTATAAGGATAAACCTGAAAGTCAGAGGTGGCTGACTATTGGCTGAAAAAAAGGATAGGCTACTAGCATACGGCATTAGAATGAGAACCAAGTAAGTGATTGAAATTATGAAGACTACAAGAAAACTGGGTAATACACATGGGGCTATATGTTACTATTAACAATGCCTTTAAAAGCTAAAGTGTAGCCAGAAAGAAGCATCCTCATAGGCAAGTGACAGGAGTAGTCATCTCTTTTGTACTGCCCAAGGTCACTCTTGGCCTTGAAGAATCAAAACAGAGTAAAGGTATAATTTCAGAGGTTTACCATTCAGTATGAAGTCAGGCTGCCATCCCTTGCATTTCCTTTCAAATGGAGCCATACTGTTCAAACAGACCTATCTTAGATAAGTCTGTTCCATGAAGACAGAGAGCACAAGTCTTGTTGCTATAGGCCAAAGAGAGGGGCATCTGGACAAAGTACTAGTGGATAGAGGGTCAAGAGAACAATTTATTTAATCCCTAAATTTGCCATGGAGTCACTGAACGTGAACAAAGGACAGTAGCAGAACTGACCAAGAATGAGGAAAACAATGCTGAGGAGCTGGGAGAGGGCTAAAATATCTGAATAGCAGCAGGGATAGTTGGGTAAGGACCAAGATCCAAGGCCAGTGTCATTTGAGAAACATGTGAATAGAGCCCTACTCCACCATGTTCTAAGTAATGCTAATAATCCATCATTGTCATGGGCTCTAAATCATTAAACAATGAGTCTGCTGCCCTAGTTGAAAGCACAATGAGACACTATTTCTTGCCACATCAGCATCCTCAGGTCTTGTGCTACCATTTCTTCAGTGTAGAACTACTTTCCAAAAACACTGAGAATGCAGATATGAGATGGATAAAGCCTGAGTTGATGGCTTTGACTTGCCCACATCCTTTAGGAAATCTCTCACTGCCCAGAGGTGTTTATTTTATCCTGGCTGCCCGTCATTGTAACGGATGGTCTGGTGCTGCTTGCCAGGTACCTCTGGCATAGGTTGAGAAGATCATAACAAGAACATGCTGGTGTGCCAGATGTCTTCTGCAGGATATCAGATTTGCAGAGATGGCAGAAGGCAAGAAAAAGGTTGGAATGTGGTGCACAAGGAGGACATGAAGGGGAGAGGAGCTAACATATACCAGTCCCAGGACAATCACTTTTGTAGTATACTGAGGCAGAGAAATGATCAATTCTCTACTCACTGGAATTCAATAAAAACAACAGATCCATTTAACCCATGCACAGCATTATAGGCATGAAGCTAAGAAGAAAACTGCTCTCCTATTTCTTTGTTGGAAGGACAAAAACCGACAAACGCCAGAGTGGTACACGTCATAAAATGGGCTTTAATGTTCCCTCTTACAGCACAGTACTGCTGCTTACACCGGGACTGGCACACAGCTCCCAGGGCTGGCTTACTCGGAGGAATGACGCTGGCGTGCCCCCTGGCTGCAATGCAGCTACAGCAGCCCCAGGCACTGAGCTCAGTATAAATTCTGGAGTCTAAATACGCACATCTGCTATAGTTCACCAACTTTGGAGTTCTGGAACTGGCAGTGTAGATTCTGTGTATGCCAAGTAAACCAGACACTGTTCTGCCTCTTTGTACTAACTGCTCTCTACCCGCCCCCTACTCTGCCTCCAGTATTATTCTGTCTTGTGAGGTACTAAGGAATGCTCTGCCTTTGCAGGGCCTAAATCGCCCATCCTTGCAGGTTTAAATCCTCTGTTCTGTTTTGTATTTGCTTTCAACATCTTGGATGTGTGACCCACGCTAACATGACTTGCCGTGTCCAGGGGACTCTTAGAAGTCACATCTTCCATGTTTCTTCCTAGCTGATGGCTCCCTGCTATGCCCACCATAGTAGGGTGATTCCAAAGTACTGTATTTAGGAGTGAAGACAGGGGTCTGTCTTCCTCCTACACCCATTCGGTCCTTGTCTTGATCACTTTATCTCTTTAACATGCACATCTGCATGTAGTCAGAGCTCTGGAAAGATCCTCTTATCTGACGACTATGGAAACATTTTCTGATTCATGAAATTATCCCTTTCAATGAGTGGTGTTCAAACTGCAGATTGATCTCTGCCTTCCCAGATGTCTTCCCGCTGCTTGGCTTCCAACCGCTTTCTCTCTGTAAATAAGAGCAGTGTTAAACGTGGTTGTCTACTTCATATAACCAGTGACTTTCCCTTAATCCAAATTACAAGGCAAACGTTAGTCATGAGACAAATGGATATCCTGATCTCCCTTAGCTGATTCCAAGAGTTAATTCCTTTCATTTCCCAAGTGCTTTGTAAGTGAAAATGATAACTACTATAAGTCATTACATTTATAACTATATAATAAAAAACATCTGAGGCTAACAGAAATTAAAATTATATGGAATAAGTCAGAATCCAGTAGGATTCAGACTCTAGTCTTGCTAATACATATTTAAATTCTACTTTTCAACTATGTTTAGTGCTTCAACACAATTGCCCATTATTCCCAGCTTACTGATCACTATAAGTATTTCAATAGGTATCAAGAATTTATGTTATTGATATTCTTCTATTTTGTTGCTTAAATGGAAGTGGTAGCCCCTGGGCTTTACTCATATCAACTTTATTGAAAAAAATTCTACAACTTTATTGAAAAAATATTTCAGAGGCAAACCAAATTTCAATATTTTCAAGCACTTCCAGGAGCCAGAAATCTTCTGGAATATACAATTCCAACAGGGAAAACTAAAACTATTTCTAAAAACAAAAAATATACAAATCTGGAACATCCATCTTCAATTTTTAATATAGAAGCTTAGTTCTCCATTTAACACGTTCACCACAGTCTGAGAAAATGCAGACCATACAGCAGTGTGGTGACACAAGCACTCCTTCAGGTGACACAATAACAGTTCCAATTTCATGGCTAGTCATTTATCTTGACACCATAAAATGGTGATAAGCCTACATCATAGATGGTAAGCTTAAATGCTTCCTTCCAAGGGTTATTGTTCCAAATTTATAATGTCTGTATAAGATTGAGCAAGCCATGAACCAAGATTACAGAAATCGAGATGAATTTTAGAATAAACACTTGCTATTCTATCTTCCCTAATCAGTAAAATCCCTTATAACATTCCTATACTATATTTGAGTGTACTTTAAGGGCAAAGTAGTTGGTTATGAAGCTGACTGGCACTTGGAAATGTGAGAAAAAGAAATTCACTGCTATTTGGGCACCATCTTGTGGCATTATCTGAATATAGCAGCAAAGTTACAAGAGGCAAAAAACAGTGGTCTGTAAATTGCAAACTGAAGGCTGGTAGAGTGCCCTGAACGGAGGCAGGCTTGAGCTGCGCTGGGGTTCTCTAAGAGACAGCACAAAGGATAAGTGGCTTGTCGAACGGATGCCAGCATTTCTTAGGAAGACAGCATGGTCTTGATCCTTACAAACATGGAGAAGTTAGGAGGGGATCCAAAGGCAATGGATGAAAAGCAATCAAAATCTGGTTCTACGTTCCAAGGAAAAATGAAGAAACCAGTAAATTATTAGAACTCCAATTTTTCAATAAGGTGTGAAACTTAAATCATAAAAGTAATATGAAAAGACATTCAAGAGCAGTAGAAAAATATGACTGGCCTACAACACACAATTCTAAAATCAAAACAATTCTGAAAACAAAGTTATTGCTTTCTTTAAAGCTTGGGGCCAAAACTCATTGATAGAGGCAAATCTAGCCTGAAAGGATATGAAGCCACTTACAGTCTTTGCACATCCCCTTTAATGTGAACAGTCAAACACTCTGCTGCAGAAATATTAATGTGTCTGATTTTGGTGTTATGAAACACAGACACCATATTACCTTTCTAAAATCTGGAAAGTTCAATTCTGAACCTTTTTTGTTTTGGAGATGGGAGTCTCTCTCTGTAAACTCAGGCTAGAGTGCAGTGGTATGATCTTGGCTTACCGCAACTTCCACCTCCCGAGTTCAAGCGATTCCCATGCCTCAGCCTCCCAAGTAGCTCTTGAGTAACAGGCACGTGGCCACCATGCCTGGGTAATTTTTTTGTACTTGTAGTAGAGATAGAGTTTTGCCATGCTAGCCAGGCTGGGTCTTAAACTCCTGACCTCAGGTGACCTTCACACCTCGGCCTCCCAAAGTGCCGGGATGACAGGCGTGAGCCACTGTGCCTGGCCTGAAATATTTCCGAGCACTTTCTAAAGAAGTAAATAGATTCTAATGTTAAGTCATATGAAAAAAAACTAGTAAGAGTAGGAAGACAAACTGAGAAGCACAAAGAAATAGTGAAAACGTGAGGTGTAAATTTAGAAATACAAGAACATGAATAGAATAGAGAAACGTAGGTCAGAGTTGGAAATAATTGCTTCATTTTAAAGATGAGGAAACAGAAGCTTGGAAAGCTTAAGTGACTTGCCTAAGGTTACATAGCCAGTGAAAGAACTGAATCTGGAACCCAGATCCTTAACTCTTTACCAGCACACTGTCTACTATCCTGACATGTGAAAATATCTACAAGGGAAAAAAATATGAAAAAAAATTAACAGATAAACAAAGAAACATGTCCCTTTCTTAAAGAGAAAGGAAAGCAGATAATAGCTGATAAGCTGCATGAAAGAAAGTTCCTACTAACTTACCTCCAACAATTAAAAGAATAAACTAAGTAAAGAGAAAGCCCGACAGCAGACATGAGGGCAAGGAACTAAGAAAAAATAGAAAATTCAGCCCAAAATGATTAACCTAAAACAATCACATAGGCTAGCCCAGAAAACTTTCATTATCTAATATAATAAATAAATCAACAGAAACAACTATATTAAATGAGTTGACTGCAATCACAAGACTTTGCAGTCAAGACTTGAGTTTTCAAGAGAATGTAAAGCACTGAAGACTGTAAAAGGGCCAGTTTGGTGTCACGTTTTTAAAAAAAGTGAAGAAAGAGGATGTAAATTAAAGACTTCCAAAATTTACTTCTAGGCCTACGAAAAATCATCACAAAATCTACTGTAGTCACCTACAGAATAATAAACAACATGCTTTGTGAAGAACATGTCTGGTCAAACTAATCTAATTGCCTTCTTTTATAGAGTGACAGATGTAATAGATCAAGGAGAAGTAATCTAAGTAACCTCTTAATTTTAGCTATGTTTTAGATTTTAAGTTTACCGAATATTTATATAATCATAACATATGGAAAATGCAGTCTGGATCCCAAAAGGGGGCATTTAACTCTGGAGAGCAGAATAATTATCAATGTATTAAGTGGCAACACAAGGAACCCTGTATTATTTATTTTAGCAACAGCGGGTAACCTCGTCAGTTAGCAAGTCCTAGGTTAATGTTTTCATCTCTCAACTAGGTAAAGGTAATAGGTTTATTAAATAGCAACCAACACCACAAAATTGAGTAAATGCTGTATCACAGAAAAAAAATCACATTAAAATGAAAGAAAATGTGGTTAGAAATGAACTTCAGATATCAGGGGAGAAAAGACACCAAATACCCTAAGACCTAGATTATGAATCTGCAATGCTGCACTGCCCTTTAAGACAGAATAATGGAAAGCCTAAAAAGGGCTTTCAGAAGGTAGCAACTGTGATTAAATTTATTACTGTCTTACAGAGATGATCTGAAGTTCTTGGTGATTTAATTAATTGAACGGGGTGAGCAGATTACTGTTTACTTACTCTGCCTTTCAGCCCTGTGACCCAAAATGGCCTTTCAGAACCAGTCAACTAATCACCTACCTTCAAGAATAAAATGAAAATAAATTAAAATAAAATTGTAGCAGGCTTTGAAACTTAAGAAGGTAGCTTATTCTGACAGGTAATGATATCTATATGTCCAGTTTTAGGTGGGAACCAAGTATTTGGATGAGTGGAACATGGGAAAATTTTTATACATTCCTGAGTTTGGTCTTTATTTCATTTTTTATTTTTTTAAGACAGAGTCTTGCTCTGTCACCCAGGCTGGAGTGCAGTGGCGCAATCTTGGCTCATTGCAACCTCCACCTCTCAGGTTCAAGCAATTCTCCTGCCTCAGCCTCCTGAGTAGCTGGGACTACAAGCGCATGCCACCATACCCAGCTAATTTTTGTATTTTTAGTAGAGATGGGGTTCCACCATGTTGGCCAGGCTGGACTCAAACTCCTGACCTCAGATGATCCACCCGTGTCGGCATCCCAAAATGCTGGGATTACAGGAATGAGCCACCATGCCCCGCCCTGAGTTTGGTCTTTAAAATGTGATTTTAGGCTGGGCACAGTGGCTCATGTCTGTAATTTCAGCACTTTGGGAGGCTGAGGCAGGAAAATCACTTGAGTCCAAGAGTTTGAGACTAGCCCAGGCAACATAGAGAGACCCCATCTCTACAAAAAAGAATAAATTAGCCGGCACAGTGGCACATGCCTGCAATCCCAGCTACTCAGGAGGCTGAGGTGGAAAGACTGCCTGAGCCTGGGAGGTTGAGACTGCAGTGAGGTGTGCTCATGCCACTGCACTCCAGCCTGGGTGACAAAGTGAGACCCTGTCTCAAAAATAAATAAAAAAATAAAAGATCAAAGCAGAGAGAAAAATATAGCAGAAAAGTACTTAAAACTCAAAATCACGAATTCAACATTCATTAATTAGGAAGGTTTCACATTCTGGGTTTTATAAAAAAAATATGAAGGACTTAAAAGCATTCAGAGTAGAGTCAAGATTTACAAAGAAAAATTAAGAGTAACCAATGTCATCCACGTATTCGGTCAATGAACATGTACTGAGTATCTTTTCATGTACCAGGCACTGTTGCCAGACAGTAGAACTCTTCAAGCAGGTGAAAGAAAGGGTGGGAGATTATCATACTATATTATAACAGGATAATATGTAGATTCCAATCCCCGTGCTAATTCTGATCATTTGGCAATGGTCATGTCAAAACTCACCAAGAAAGAATGTCATGACTAATTTAGCAATGTCTGCCATGTGTAATGGATGGAGCCTGGCAGTATATAATACATATTTGCAATTACAAGTTCATATTATAATGAACATTAAATTCTTAACAGTCATGTCAATAATTGTACCCTAAATTTGTAAAAGCACTTTCCAAACATTTTTACATATATTAACTAATGCTGTGCTCAAAAAATTCTCCATGATTAGGTAAGCTGAGGAGTAATTCCACTTTGCTGGAAGCTGGGGGGCACAGAGAGGTATAACTGACTTGGCCATGGCCACACAGCTAATTAACGGCAAAAGCCCTATTAGAACCCAGATTTCCTCATTTCCAAACAATCTTTATAGTTAAAGTTGTTAGAACAGAATGGTACACAGATATTCTCTGTTTCTACTAAGGAAAAAACAAGAGGACACTGGTTTAAACTATCATGCAGATTTAAGTTAGACCTAAGGAAGATTTTTCTGAGAGTGAATAGCTGTTAATCATTGGTACAGATAACAAAAGAAGTTTGTCATACTTTATTCCTGAAGACTTTAACAATTGCATTATGTAAGTATTTTTTTCCAGGAAAAATGTCAATAATCCCAAAAGTCCTTCAAGAGGGATTACAGTATTACAGAAGCAGCATGGGTTTTAATCAGAGATACCTAGATTCAGATGCCTTCTCTTTCAGTTTACCAGCTGGGTGACCTCAGTCCAGCTACGTAACTTCTCTGGGTCAGCTCTAAACTCAAGATGGTATCCCAGAGCTATCATAACGCAATATCATCAAAACCTGTAAGTTATGATAGAGTTTCCTTCCTGTGCTTTTAAAGAACAAAAACTATTTTATGGTTTTTAATCTTAAAAGCTTCAGAACTGAAGTGAGAGGAAAAACAACTGCTTAAAATACCTAAAAAAGGTACGTATTTTCTTCCCTACTCAATGCAGACATCCTGACTAGGTTGTACAGCTTAAGAAGAGGTACAAAATCTTGCCATCTTTCTAATTTTCCTGAACAGGGAACACAAAGCTCTGCACAGGGCAGGTGCTCAGTGAATGTCAAATGGAGCTAATAAGGAATTTTAAAATAAGAGTAATGACAAAAATATGCACTGAAATCTGTGCTGGATTCATCATATAATGACATTGCTATTGTTACTAATAAAAACAACAGCAGCTAACACCTACCATATAACTCATTATAGGCCTATGGAAATAGGAGCAAGAGAGTACCTAAGGCTTTTTGAAGATGACTAAGTATCTTTCATGGATTATCTCGCTTAAGTTCCATTTAAGGATGAGAATACAGAAGCCTCCTGAGAGTAAGTAAGTTACTTACCTACCCTCTAGAGGTCACACAGCCAGTAAATGGCAGAGCTAAGATGTGGACCCAGGAAGTGCGATTCCAGAGTCTAATACCTAAAACAGTACTTTTAAGTTTCCACAGAAAAAAAATATTTAAAGCCTGGGCTCCATGCAGGCAAGTATATGAGTATCTGCCCAAAACAGAAAGATGCCAGAAAGAGATACATCAGGAAAATTTCCAGGTATATTTCCCCAGATACAAAGAATGGTAGCACTGTGGAGCACAATAAAGAAAGAGTCCTCTATAATCCATACAGCCTCAGCATCAACACGTAGGAGGAACTTATCACAGTGGGTCTCTATTCACAAATAAAGGCCCTCTTTAGAAAAGCAATAGGGTGCCCACTTAGCCAACAGTCTCATTTCTAATTGCATCACTGAATAGCCAGACATTTAAAACAAATAGTTCAAGTGGAGCTGCATGCTGATGCACCCAGAGAAAGAGAAGGGAATACTCAAGCTGATATCCATGCAAAACAACTGCTGCAGGATCTGTAGAGATACATTTGATAAACACCCACAGAGGGGCACAATAACATGGCAAAGGGAGTCATATTCCCTTTTACAGATACCACTGTTATCTCACTGAAATCACTTCTTCAGAGATAACCAATTAACATATGGTTAAGAACACTGCACATTCATCTTTAGTTCTGTTAGTGCCATCTATAAAAACCCAAGGAATCTGGTTATGTTTCTATAGTCTGTAGGAGGCCTTGAGTAAACAGTGATTGGAAGCCATCAAAACTGCCTCATTATAATAATTAAGGTTTCAAAAATTAGTTGGGTTCAACTCTGAAACTCTAGCACCTGCCATGACACACTCTGTCACTGGTTATCTGGCCAGTGCAGCTGAGAGTCCGCAAGCTGCCTGCTATCACCAAAGCAGAGAGGACAGGAAGTATTAATGGCCTTGTTAGACCAGCAATAAACAAGGAGTTTGAAACTTCAATTCGTTTAATGGAAAAATGAAGTTACTTTTCAGTAAGTGGAATTTTCAGAATAAATTGCCTTTGCAGATTCCAGAGATTGTGGGCTAAGGCAATGAGACTGTCTAATGCCTGAAGGTTGATAAAAAGTACTTAAGTGCCACGCAGGAGTCCCGGCCTTTACGTACAATTCAACAGCCTATAGAGGACAGAGACAAGATTTTAACCTCAACTCCAAACTATACAGAAAGAAAAACTCTGCTTGTGGATCAGGGGAAGTATTTTTCTGAGAACTCTTGGATACTAGAAAATAATCAGAAGACAGGTAAATCTAAATGTACTTTAATGGAGCCACTCAAAACTGTCTTTAAAAGACAAAAATATCTCCCACAGTTGCTATCATCGATGTCAGTTGCTGGCTTTTCCTCAATTTGTCTTCTACCTCAGATCTAAACTATTTGATAACGTTAGGGCAATTATCATGGCAATCGTGGCCCAGTAAAACCAAAGCAAATGTTTTCTGCCTAGGACATTACTATGTTTTCACAGAAAAATTTTTCTCAGAGGAAAACTGTAGGAAAAGCCATGGATGGGCTGAGAAGACCAAATCTATCACTTGGAAAACAACAGGAGGAACATGGATTAGGATGTCCTGGTGTGTGAAACAGACAGACAAATCCTGAAATATCTTCTTCTGAACATAAGGCATGAAAATTTCTATACATTTGGGAGGCTTCTAGGAAACAGAAATGACAAAATGGAATGGGCTTCGTTCTTTTTTTTTTTTTTTTAAAATACGTGCCTTACAGTGAGCTCTAAGGAACTAGAGAAGAACACCATCCTTTCAGCTCACCTCTGGCTTCTTGCAGTTTCTTGAGCTCTGCTTCTCGTTCGGTTTTGCTCTGCTTACTTCGAACCCCAAGGGCACTGATGACTAACCTTCTGGCTAGGGCTGCTGAAGTCTCAGGACGCTCCTTTGCTGGCTGGAGGAACTCTGAATGGAAAAAAGGGAGGGAGTAGGAGGGAGTAAGGAAGAGAGAGCACTCCAGCTTCAAGTGATTTAACTCAGTAATTAACAGACAAAATAGACTAACAAGGGCTGCATCAGCAGTAATTAATATAAGCCTGATAGATGACGATCAGAGGAAATTAACATGGCAAAGCACAAACAACACTGGCTTCATTATCTGCATTAACACAATTTCTTATAGTGACTCTATCAGGCAGCTGAACCCAGAGGTAAACTACGTAGGGGTGTCATCAGAAACTGGTTGCTGAATTGCCTGTAGTTAGTTCTCATACTCTCCAAGTGGCTGCTCAGATGCCATATTTCCAACATGGTCATTTCTCTTTTATTTTTTTTCTTAAAAACATACTTCTTTTAACACTAAAAATAAAAGTGATACGTCTTTAAATGTCTGGATGCTATAAAGTGCTGGAAAGAACAATAATACCATAATCAACAAGAAAAAACCCAGAGATAGACTCACCAGCATAAGCTCTAGCTTTGGCCTTGGCTGCTCTTGTGGCCTGTGACAAGGGACGAATCTTTACCATGGTGTGTTTAATACCCAATGCATCACGAGCTGCAAAGAGGAATAAATATAAGGAAGCAGAAGACATGAAGAAGAGTGATGCAAAGGAGAAACTAGGGATAGTTCTTAGTATTTCCTAGATGTTATGCTGTTTTTTCAAAGCAAGCAAAAGAATGAGATCTACAGGATCAATGTGGCAGTTAACTATTTTAGATCAGGTATCAGCAAACTGGTTCTGTGACCAAATCCAGCCAACCACACATTTTTATATTTATTTAGAAAATAATTTTACTATTTTACTGAAGCAGAGCCACGCCCATTTGGTTTGTATGTTGTCTATGGCTGCTTTCTTGCTCCAACAGTAGAGTTCAGTATCGACAAAGACCTGATGCTCCACAAAGCCTAAAATACCATATTTACTATTTGGGCCTTTATAGAATAATTTTGCAGACCCATATTCTAGGTGGTTCAGACAGAAACCAACATTTCAACATCTCTACTTTCTTTGAATGCCACTACATCAGATCTATCATGAGGCCAATGGTATACAAAAAGGCCCAATTATCTATTTAGAGAGTATGTATTACAATTTCTCACAAGATAAGCTAAAGGGCTACTTAAATTCACTTGTCTGGGATGGGGGGGGAAAAAAAAACTACCAATATTGTAAGATTTAGCCTCGCTGGATTCTTAAATCTCTACCTTAATCTGTTTACATACTATCGTGACTGACAGTTATGTGTACAAATGACCTTGGAAGGAGTTGACTCTCTCTCTCCAAATACCACTGGACTAAGGTGAAAAGGGAGAATGGGTACCAAAGTACCATACCTCAAAAAAGTCAATATCTGCCCTATTACCTACACTGGCTGAGTATAATGCCAACTTGCTCAAATAGAAGGGAAACAGAAAAAGTAGCATGAGAAAATGAACAGTAAAGAAAGGAAGATTGAAACCCACTGGGTGAATACCTGTAATTGGACTGGAGAATACTCCTAGGGCATGTGTATCATCCACCCATTTAATATCAAATCCTTTCTTTCTGCAACACAAAAAAACAATTTTATTTCCTAAAATGAAATTTACTTTTATGAAACATCTCACAAATAGAATCTCATAAAGCATTTCACAAGATAGAAACACTCAATGAGTGCACAGGTGGAATGGGGATAATGACACAAAAAACAGCTTGGAGGACAGAAGAAGCCATTGAATTTTAAAAGCAATAATACCATCATAAAGAACTACCCAGGAGTATTTTACGTTCTCAGCCATTTTATAGACATCAACTAATTAATCCTCACAAGTCCCTTGGGGATGTAAAGTATTTAATGCACTATTTACAAGAGATGTTCTTATGGGCAGGGAATAAGAAGAAATGGAAAGGGGAAGCAGAGGAGGGGTAGAAGATAAGAGGAGTAGGTAGGCAGGGAAGGTCACCTGGATTTAATGCAAATGTAAACTCTGTCCTTGAGGACAGAGACAGAAAGAGAATGAGAGAATGGGGTGGGGAGAGAGAGATTATACTGCAAGATGTCATTCAATTTTTTTTTTTTTAAGTCAAGTAATGGGGAAAAAGGGGTAACTATAAGCAGAGAGGCTAATCTATTCTTCACTTGTTGCAGAAGGGAGGTTAAAAAAATAAGAAAAAATTGGAAAGAAGTGTGTGGCAAAGTCAGAAAAATTCAGGATAAAGGAAATCATGAAAAGAGAAATACCAGACCAGATTAGAAAGGATCAAAAGGATGAACATTTAAGTACTAGAAAAACACTTTCTGTGTGGGTTTGAGAAGAGCTACAGAGTGAGCACAAGGAATGTCAGGATGATGACATAACAGAGCTTAAAAATGCTCATGGACTCAAGGTTCTGCCACCTTGAGACCTTGGGCAAGTTTAATCTCTCTTGAAGCTAGGTCGGCTTATCTGTAGAAATGAGCAAAGTATGTTCCCCACAGAGTTGTTGTGAAAATGGAAATGAGATCATCCATGACAAATCAAAGAAGATGGTGTTGGGCACTTCATAGGCATCTAATAAATTAATGGTATTAATTATTTTTATTATTAATAGCAATGTCTATCAATATTAATATTGATGAAGATGGTGATCAAAACATGAAGTTGACTCTGGAATTTGACTCACAGGCGTTATTATAGGCTTTTGTACCATGACCTTTTTTTTTCCTTTTCCATTTTTATAAATCACAGATGGGTTCTAGAGGGCCTTTTAGACTTCAAAAATTCATAATCCTTTAAAATTCTTCTCTTTGGGGAATGTTTTTGAATTTGAGAGAAAAATGATCTTACAGGTGACATTATCAAGAAACAAAGCAAAGGGAAGTAAATAGTTTGTAAGAGTTAACTAAAATCTTCAGGAAATTCTAGACATCAATAAAATCATCTCTGGTTTTAAGAATCATCATTATTAATAATGACAGTCTAAGGTAGTTCTAATGGGATTTGATCCCACTGACTGCTTTTAAAAAATCTATTATGAAATGTATGTTGAACAGGTTCTGATACTGGATCTTAACCTAATTCTAATAAGACTGACCTAGACATTATACATTTAAAGTTCATGGCAGGGATTAATTATCCTCCAGGATTCATTCACCCTTTCTTTTTGTCAGTTATAGAACTGATGCTCTCCCTGCTTAACTGATTAAACAACAAGTACATAGCTGCTAGTTTTGCCTGTTCGAGAACTTCATACAAAAACAGAACACTTGTTTTTATAATTAAGTTTTAGTTTACAGCCATGCTCATTTATGTATGGTAATGGCAGAGTTGTCTAAAATATTTACTTATCCTTTAAGAAAAAGTTAAGGGCTATACTGTAGCTCTTAACTTTTGATAATCTAGAACTTATATACAATGTTACACATTCAAGATGAATTTTAAATTTAAATTTGTTATATGACACTATAGGCCTGGCTCATTTAAAATATCAGGACTGAAACATTTAAGTATAATCCTTCTTGACACTTTCTTCCAGACCCTGAAAATCTTCTTAACTTTCTTTCCAGATCATCATCTCTTTATTCCTAAAGCTCATTTTTTCTCATAAGCTAAATATATAGAGGTATACTTCTCTTTTAACTTCTCCTATATAAGTATCAGCTACATAAAAACCAAGGGTTAGTGCAAGTGTTCTCAAACCCACTTATATCAGTTTGAGTTGATATTTTCACCATGGAATTAAATAAAATTAAACCAATAGGAGCATAAAAAAGAAGAGTTATTGTGTTTGTAAAAACTTAGTTCAGTTCAGGTGTGGTAACTCATACTTGTAATCCCATCACTTTGGGAGGCTGAAGTAGGCTGATGGCTTAAGTGCAGGAGTTTGAGACAACATGGTGAAAACCCATCTCTACTAAAAATACAAAAGTTAGCTAGGAATGGTGATGCATGCCTGTAATCCCAGCTACTTGGGAGGCTAAGCTGGGAGGACTGCTTGAGCCCAGGAGGTCGAGGCTGCAATGAGCCCAAAAGAAGGCAAGAAAGAAAAAGACAGGACAAGTAAACACATAAAGATAACAGGCAATCTGACAATTCATGCAAATATATCAATAACTACAATAAATATTAATGGACTAAATGCACCATGAAGTCATGACTGATGGCAGTCTTCTTAAATGCTAAAATGGGGGCTAACAAGGCTACCTGACATTTTTAAGGAACTTAGAACAGCAGTTTAATTAATTTCTACTGGACCTGGAAAAGAATAAACCAACCTGATGCTAAAATATGAAAAACAGGAGATATGGAAAACAAGAAATGATTTCTCAGAAAATATTTTTTGAAGACTTCATCTCACCCTCCCTAACATCCACAATCATTTGCATACTCACTGATAACTACAGAAAATCCGTAGAAGGTCTTCAGTACGAAATTCTTGGGGAAAGTCGTAAATTTCAATGACATGTGGGAATTCACAATCACTGAGGTCAATATCAGGAACTTCATGGTTGTAGTAATCAAATCTAGGTTCCTGGATGCTTTCTCTGCTCTTCGTATTCCCTGATAACTAGAAAGGAAGAAGCACGTAAATGCTGGTTACATCAAACCTGGTTACTACAAAATATATTCCTGTATATAAACAATCACCTCTTTTCTCTACATGTTCCCATTCCTCAAATTTTGGCATGGTCTCTGTATTAACTCTATTCATAGATACAATAATGATCAGGTGTTTATCACCCAGTTTATGCTATACATGGGGAATACTTGAAAAAGTGTTAAAATTCCAGCAGACAGGCAATGCATGAAACTCAACTTGCATCTCTAACCAGGATATGAGAAAACACAGACTGAATACTGTGGTGAGTTATAAATGGCACATCTTGGAAACTGACGCTCAGTTAATAGCTGAAGAGATTAATTAATAATATTTGTTTTAATTGAGCTTACTGACCAGGCTCATATCATAGTTTCTTTTCTGGAAGCCAATAAAAATGAAGACAATTAAAAAAAAAAATCAAGAAAACTTTTTTACTTCACTTTTTGTTGGATGTATTAAAGGGTGAAGATATAGCTTATAAAGGCATTTGTTAAGACAAAATAAGTGGTATATGTAGTTATACTTAATGTCCTTAGCTTGAGACCTATCTTAAGGAATGCACACATGGCAAGCTAGTGAAGGAGTTAATAAAGGAGGTAATGAATTATAATTCTACCATCCCATAAAAAAAGCTGAACTTCACATTGGAAGCAAAAGAAGGAAAATGGGAAAGTGGAAAGTGGCAGTAAAGCCATGAGAGTCATTTTGTCATTTACCTGTTATAAAACCTAGGCACTGTTGATGACCCAAGGCCACCAGATCCTTAATTTTTTTATCTCTCTCTGTTAATCAGAAGTCTAACCAGGTCCCTCCAAGCTTTCTCTGGTTTTAATAATGTGTCTCTTTTTCCATCAAATGAGGAAAATAAGAACTTGGAATGCCAGGAATATAACTCCCCTCCTTGGAGAAGTTGAAAACTGGATTGAAGAGTTTTATTGGGAGAGGGAGGAAGGTGAGTTGGGTAGTATCAGTAAAAATTATTATTTATTCCTGTGCCTTCAATTCTTTTTCTCTACTAAGCCTCAGTTTTACACTAAACAATGGGAATAATAACAGCATCTATATCTCATTGATAGGTACATGGACTAAATGAGATGGTAAGTGCTTAGCATGCTGCTTGACACACAATTATTCAGTAAATTTAACCCACTTTAAACAAATTTTAACTGAATGCTAAATCTGTTACATGCCAAATGCCATATTAGTTCCACTCTGCTTAGGATACAGAAAGCAGAAGAGAATGTTCTTCCCACCATAACAAGAGAAAAGACCAGATGATCTATAAAATCATAACTTTTCTTGAGTTTACCAGAGAGCTGAGTCAGAAACTGGTTAAGATAACCAGTTTTTCTGGTTATCCTAAAATCCATACAATGACAAGTCTCTCCCAAAGAGTAACAAAATACATAAACTGTTTTGCCTTTGGCAGACTCCTAGAAGAAGTGACCACCACACAAGTGGGCAAGAAGATATCAGCTAAACTTTTAACAAATTCTTAAATGTCTAGAGTAGATTAGTCTCAACAGATTGGAATAACTCAGAGGCCAGAGACAAAAGGAGTCTGCAATGACTTGCAAGTCAATCTTTATGCCAGTGCCACACTGTTTTGATTACTGTAGCTTTATAGCACTCTTTGAAATCAAGAAGTTTACTATGAAGCCTGAGTCTTCCAACTTTGTTCTTTTCAAAATCACTTTTGATTATTTAGGGCACTTTGCATTTCCACAGAATTTAAGGATCAGATTGTTAATTTCTGCAAAAACTTTCTGCCAACTAGGCAGCTGGGATTGCATTGAATATATAAATCAAATTGGGAAATATCTTAACAATATTAAGTTCTCCAGCAGGTGAACATGGGATGTCTGTCCGTTTCTCTAAGTTCTTAATTTCTTCCAACAATGTTTTATAGTTTTCAGAGTGTAAGTTTCATACCTCTTTTGCTAAATGTATTCATATATAAAATTAAACCTATTAGATTTTATTCTTTTTGAGGTTATTGTAAAATTGTTTTCTTCATTTTCAGCATTGACTGTGAGTTATTTTGCAAAACCCAAACAAAACAAGGAACTGCATGCTTGTATGTTTATAAATTGGGGCTAAAAAATACATTGTGAAAGATACAAATCATGAAACATCTTAGAAATATAAATCCTAAGAAATGCTATAGGCCAGGTGCAGTGGCACAGACCCGTAATCCCAGCACTTTGGGAGGCCTAGGCAGGTGGATTGCTCAAGTCCAGGAGCCTGGGCAACATGGCAAAACCCT